GATTTTAAGTACAATTTCAACATCAAAAATACTTTTTATACCAAACGCTCAAATCTCTTCTAGCACTTTGATTCTTAATCCGTTTACATTTAAGTAAATGGATATACCTATATTTCATATTTGCTACAAAACGAAATTATGAATTGTAATTTTGAATGTAAACGTGATTGTGAACAGTAATATTAGTGATGTGCGTTATGGTGATTGCGATTTCTTATCACCGGCGGGTGAAATATCCCTCATCGCTATTTATTTTGAAAAAATCTTTGGAAATGCAATTTACCTAATGGCGATCCTGCAGAAATAGAAGTAATTGAGAAATTCGGGGGTTGAAAGTAAAAAAATGTATGTAAATTCCATGCGTTGAAATTATAAATTTCCCTTGAGGATTTCCATTTTATCGATAGTGATCTCATTTTATGTTTATGAACTGACCTATATAGTGTATTAATGTTTTATCATCATTTTCTTCATCTTTGACAAAATTACACGGTATTTATTTTATTTTTTTAAATAATTTTAATTATTTTTTTTATAAAATTGTAGCTCATTATCAAACAAAAACCTTGCAAATAAATCGAAACTTGAAAGAATGAAAAAAATCAACAAAGTTTCATCAAATTTTCACAGTTTTTGTTCAGAATTTGTAGACATGTTTTGGGTTAACATTTTTGTAGCCCATTCATTCTAGTATAATAAGGTGCAAGTTTGAAGTGTCTAGAAAAAACCATTGATTTTTTTAAATTTTCTGTTTGCGGTGTTGCGCACATTCTTCCATATAACGAACGTTCGGATTTTATGTTATATGGATGAATGCGCGTGTAGCGTTGTTGTTTTTTATTCCAATATTTCAAATTAAGCTTTATTTTATAGTTTTTCTTAGACAATGATAAATGAATGTACTGTATCTGTACTGATTGAATGTACTATCTCGATCATTTAAACATCCCGGACTCGCCCACCATTAAAAATGATTATTTAAATCTAAAGTATATATTAAATGATATTTAATATTTGCTTTAGAGATGAAATTTCGACAAATTTGTTTAAACAAAAATGTTAAGCGCATATGCAGAATGTGGAAGCGAGATTCTTCTGCTTGCGTTTCTATGTTTTTATCATTTATCAGCACTTACGATTAAATGTAAAAAAAATATTTTTAATTGCGGATCCGAAAGAAATATTTATTAGTTGCATTGAGTTACGCAATAATAGTGCCGAAAATCAATCGATGGTGCTAAAGTTGCCGGCTGCTTCCGAAAGGGCCGAAAATGGCATAATGCACACTCATTTTCCATCACTGCCACACATACAATCTCACTATTCTGTTGACTTTGCTTTCCCCTTCCGATAACTTTTTGCTTCCGCCTTGCCCAGCACCGCTGTGCAAAGCTTTGCACGCGCAGTCGCCCGCGCCTCATATGTGCTGATTTGGGCATCCCTATCTTAGGGCATAGAGCCACATTTCTGGCAACAATCCAATGTACCTTGAAACTGCGGTTCTCGCATACCCTCCCTCACCAGTCGAGGGAGAAGAAGTGGAAACCATCACATGAGAACAGAGAGTTCTCCGTTAAAAAGCCATCAGGACTCGTGAGTGAACGCAGCTTTGTGGTTTGGTCCTTCTCCAAAATTTTTACCAGCCTAGCCGTTTGACCCAAGGTTTCAATCCTGCTGCAGCCCTCTTCACAGAGCGAATTATACTATGTTCCCACGGCACGTAATCCTCTCTCCCATTCATAATTTTATCTCTCATTCGTAATTGGCACTGCTAAAAGCGAAGTCTGTTCCCCTTGTGACCGGTATTCTTTGCTCCGCAGCTTTGAGCCACTCCCAGTTAGCTTGGGAGAGGCATCTCACCACAATGGTTCCACCCCCCTCTTATAAACGAGCATTGGCTACAGTGCCGGAGGTAATGACAGCCCGGATCAGCGTTTAATTTACGCAGTAGACATCTGCCTAGTCTAACCCGCCCTCCCCATTACGGCAATGAGCAGAGGGCCTTTTACGGGCTCACAATAAGTTTCCCAGGACCCAGATATCCAGACGGAGTTGCTTCGAGGGAATAGCGAGTGCAGTTCTGCCTCGTCCGATCCTTGCATCACTTCCGCCCTTGGTTTGAGGTAAGCGTTTCGTGGCGCCAGAGGTCTGTCTGAATGATCGGAATTGGGCAATGCCACACCAGTACCGTGCTACACTATGACTCGAAGAGGCATTGGGACAGCAATTGGTGTCTGTCACCACCGGTTTCCTTCTCTTACACCGTTCGCAAGCAGATTTGGATGTCGGTACATCCATCAAGTTCCACTGGCTTCTGGAGTAACATCCGTAGACCTGAGCCGCTTACTGAATACAGCGATAGGAGGAGTTCGGTCAGCCACAGAATTGGGTTTAACCTGATTGCGTTTCGCCCGCCGATACTTCCTCTTCTGGGCTGTGGAAAGAGGACCAACTCAGTCATTGGAGGGCAGTTGGCAGCGAACTGCTTCTCCACCTACATCCCCTGCAAGAGATTGGTCCTCGTCCGACTCTGAAGAAGAGAGGATTGGCTTTTTCTCCCTACTCTCCTCCAGGATGCGCTCCTGGTCTATGACGTTGGAGACTTTGGCAACGGTTGGGGCTGCAAATGCGGATGATTTCCCACAGATACTACAAAAGTAGTTTAAAGAGTTAACCTAAATACAAGTTGTTAATAAATTTGAAGATATGCTTTTAATAAAACTTGTTTAATTTTCTCTGAAATCTTAATAACATGGACACTAGTGCAAACGACTTCGGTCTTGTTCCTTCGGTGTTATTTAAATTGATGCGTAGATGCATACATTTTGCATATATTTTGCATATTCAATTTGCATAAAAAACAGAGCTCTTCTTATGGGTATTCGTGCGTTTTGAAATTTTTTTGTTTATGTCGCACGGTGTAATTTGGTTAAATCATCGTCAATTTCAGCGAACTTAAAACACAGTTTGCTGCAAGTTCTACTGCTCCCAATCATACCTTCATTTTTCATAGTTCTAACCCTGGTGTACCAATTACAAATACCTATATACATGCATTCATGCATGGAGACTTATGGGCCTTAACCTGTTTCTGGAATGTGAACAAATGGCCTTTGCTTTGCGACACCTAGTACGTGGGGCAGTATACATATATGTACGTATGGCTTTGCATTTGAATGCTTTGTATGGCTGCCATTGAAAATACTACTTCATCCTTAATTTACTATTACCAATTTCATTTCGAGCGGGAGTTATCACACAAATCCATACATATACATATATGTATGTATATTAGGGTGGTCCAAAAATGCATGTGAAAAAATAAAGTCTTAATTTTTACGCTCTCCTCTCCTAGGATTGTTCTATACCGAAAAAAGTATACCCTTATTTTTTTATTTTGAAATCAAAAAATATCTAGAGGTCGCTCAAAGCGGCAAAAGTTTTCCATGTATTTTATATGGGGAAAAATAAACTTTTCGTAGAAATGTTATAGAATAGTTAAAAATCGATATTTTTCTACCAGTTTATCTGCAGGAGATTCCCAGTAATAATACCCAATTGTTTATTTAACCATTTTTTTTATAGCAACTATAATTTATAGGTCCGCCAAAAACCCACAAAAACCCCGACAAATGCAATGGGGCGACCAATAAAAAATCTGTAGTATTAAAAAATGGTTAAATAAACAATTGGGTATTATTATTGACAGTCTCCTGAAGAGAACCAGAGTTTTCTACGAAAAATTATATTTTTCCCATATAAAAATACATGGAAAACTTTGAGCGCTTTGAGCGACCTATAAATATTTTTTGATTTCAAAATAAAAAAAATAGTGGTATACTTTTTTTCGATATAGAACAATCCTAGGCGGTGAGAGCATTACAATTCCGACTTTACTGTTTTTGGACCACCCTAATGTATATCCTCACCCTTACTAGAAAGGATAACTGTACATTGCGTTAGCCTTTGCCGTAGCCTTTTGCGCTGCACACACACACACACAAACTTACAAACTATGAAATAATCAACGAAGTATATATGTATGTAGTAGATGATGAAAATGAAGATGGAGAAGTAACTGGCAGAAACTACTCACCATTAATCACGTGTACCATGACGCTGGCGCTGCTCGCCGTTGTCGGTTGACAAGTGTAATTCCCTGTATCCGTTGTTTGTGCATTCGAAATGCGCAGCCTGTATGAGAAGAAGAAGATGGAAAGGTGTATGTGGTAAGTCGAAGAAAGATGCAGAAAATAGACAAATGAAGACATATAAAACACAACGTAGCACATATGTACACAGTACATATTGTAATTGCGATGAGTGAATGAGCGTGGAAATGTAAGCCGAAGCTCGAGTAGTATGCGACAGCTAACGTTGGAGTCCAAGAATGATAGAATACAAGATTGCTCCGATCAGAGAGGATTTTTGAGAATAACTTTTGTGTGACGTCACACTGGTGCAATTGCGAGAGAGAAATGCCAAAACGTGAGCAAGAATGGAAGAAGAAGAAAAAATGTTGCAAGGAAAACGTAAACAAGTTGCACCAGTGTGACGTCATGCAAACAACGATTCTGTCAAATTCGTTAAGAGAGGAATAGCGGTCCGAGATCGGCGCAACCTTTGTATTCTCTCAATCGTGGTTGGAGTCATAAGTAGGCACAGTATACCAGTATAAAAGGTTTTTGTAGCTGTTTCGTGGTGAAAGTCCGTTATGGGGGCCAAATTTCCCCACAAGAAATTGAGCGCATGGTTGCTTTTGCATTCCAAAAGAACGAATATTAGAAAACATTGAAAAAAAGTCTGAGATAATACAATTATATTCTACTAGAAATAAACTCGATAGTGTGCGCTAATTAGATAATGTGATAATCATGTTTAAAAACTCTTTTCAAGTCTTATTTTTCAGAAAATAATATTGTGGATCAGATTGCTCTGAGCGCTTCTGTTGTTTACCAAGAAAATGCACCCCTGTTGGTTATTATTTCTGTATCGCAATGCGGTGAGTTTCTATTTCTTGGTAATTCGGTTTGTAAAATGGTAAACAATTATTGAAATTTATTTATTTGATGTGTTTAACATTTGATTAATGCAATTTTCTGCCTTTTCAGACTATTAATTACAAGCACAGCATCATCAACGGTGATTGCAAGAACTACTGCAATCCCTGCGGTTTTTCCTCTTGGTAAATGCGTTCTGGTCGTGACCAAGGGTGGTCTCCCAATCGGTCGGGAATAAGGTTAGTCATTTTCAATTTTATATCTTTGTTCATCGACATTATATGACATGTCATCATTGCAGGCTATTGTTGCAGAACAAAACGCCACAACCACCGCTGTGGTAAATATGTTACAGCAGTACTGTCCACCGCCGTCGGCATGATAAAAACATTACAAGGTAAATTCATTCTCATTCTCATTCATTTTAAAATCATATAAAATTGAAAATAAAAAAATTAAATTGTTCACAATTGTTTTTGTTTGAGATTGAAAATGAGAATGTGTGTGTGAGTTTGAGTTTTGAATTTTAAAATTATATTGTTGGCAAACGTCAGACTGCCTCTCAATCGTTTTACCTTGTTATGTTTTTATCATGCCCGTCGGTGTAATGATTTCGATAGCTGAACAAACGCCATCTCCTGGGGATTCCCACATGCCGACAATAGCTATTATATCACGTGTGAATGCAACTGCGGCTAAATTTGGTTATTAACAGTGCAATAGTGCCATGTCATTGGCAAAAACACTAAGGGATGCTGGCACATAGAGGTTGTAAAGTTTTTGGAATCGATGAACTTACTCGAAGAAGACGATGGTCGAAAACATATGATGAAACATCTTCTGGCGTGCCTTTGACAATCGTTAAGTTGGACGGAGGCTTCACATACGATATTTCACACATTTACAAAATATTTATCGTTCTGCAGAACGTGCATGCCTATTCGATTCCGATTTTATGGGTCGATTACGGAGGACAACCGAACTTCAGTGGGTTGGCCAGTGGCTGAAATGGTATTACCGATGGCAACTAGCAACTGAAAGCTGGTAACTGAGTTGCTATATTGGCACGAACTAATCAAGGCTGTCATAGAATCCATCGTAGTCCGATTTTCCGTGAAATCTATGAAAATGCAATTAAATTCGAGTAGCTACGAACGCAGTGCTTGCTTTGAATACACACGTTCATAGCAGTTCAGATTCAGTGATCGCTTTTTTGTAGATTTTATGAAAAATCGGACTACGATGGATTCCGCCACCAATATATTTTCTCCTTTGACAAGATGTTGGAGAATCGCGGCAGCACAGCCCTATACCTACCCTATGCTCTTACGTGCATATGCTAAATTTCTCGTACCTAGCTAAAGTGCTTGACAAAGGCAGAAGGCTTATCTTCAACATTATAACTTAAAGTAAAAGAGTTAAAGATATGCAATAAAAGAATACAACAGAACCAAAAAATCTCAATACTATTAAACATAAAAAATTACACGAATAAAATTCATAATTTAAAATAAAATAAAATATCGCAATTGTTTTTTATATGTACATACATATTTACAAAATGAATCTTAAAGCACCCACAGTAAGTCCTAAACATATAAACGACTAATAAGAAAAATAATAAATAACAGTAATGTGAACAAGTATGTCGAGAAATCTCTAAATAGTAGCGAAACTGTATCTGAATAATAACAAGTAATTTTGAGCAAAAAATACAACCGACTTTAGTGCTCATTCAGGTCGTTCTTGTTACGTAGATCAGACTGTCCTCCCTTTTTTTAAAATCGTTAAAAAAATGAATACGTATTCTACAGAAATCAAGATACATATTTAAGGATTTTAAGTAAAAATAAACAAAGGAAAACTTGTTCGTGATATCTCGACCAAAGTGCATTCATGATACAAAAATCTGAAGGTAAAACCGCTGAGAGGCAGCCTGAACAATTTTGAAGTTTGCTAACATTACAAAAATGTTTTCAAACCCAGCAAACATTTGGAGTCATAAATGAGTCTTTAAGGAGTCCTATT